ATTGGGTAGGCCTAGGCGTTAAGCATTCAGGAATTAAGTTTTTACAAAATAATGCATTTTATGACAACATCAAATATTTAAGTGATCTTTTGGAAACACAGTAGATGAACCAACAGCTGGTCCTCTAAGAGCAAAAACCCTACTGTAAATACTTGACTTGACAGCTAGAGAAGATTCGGTTAAAAAACAAACAAACAACAACAAAGAAAAACCTTTTGAGATTGAGTAAAAAAAGAATTAAAAATATTTCTCTGACAAAACTCAACCCAAATAAAGCTTAGTAAACATTTCTATTGATAAATGTTTATTTGTTTTATAATGTTTCTTCTTACCTTGCTTGGAAGAAGGCTTTAATACAAGTTTGGGGGCAGAGGAAAATGTTTCTTAAAGCTGATTTTAGGATGAGTATATTTTTGGAGTTTAGGACTTTGGTAACTTATTTGATGATGTTTAAGGTCATTTTCTCTGGACACAGGTGCATATTCTGAATAATGTTTTAAGAACTAATATCTATGAACTACTAAGACATAGTAATAGTTCACAGGAAAGCCAGGTCATTATTTTATCAGCAGAAGCATACATCTCCACAGGGGGAGGGGGATTATAACAAACTTTTCTGTACAAGCAGAAAATAATTTATTGTCAAAATGAATACAGCCTGTTGGCAAGTTAAGATTGCTCAACTTATGATCCTTCAGTTTTAGGATGATGCTGATACAAAACGCCTTCAGTAGAAACTGTATTTCAAGTGCCCACAGGACTATTTTGGTTTTCTCTTTCAATACAGTGGTCAGTAAGGTTCATGAGATATTCAACTCGTTATTTTAAAGTGGATTATTTTGCCTGGCTGTAGGCTAATCTAAGTATTCTGAGCGTCTTTGAGGTGGGCCAGGCTAAGGTTCAGCAGGTCAGGGGTCCTAACTGTACTTCCACCTAAGATATTTGAATTCAGGATGGGTTTACTGTAAGGTGACCAGACGTCCTGCATTTTGTAGGACAGTCCCAATTTTTAACAATTTGTCCCGTGTCCTGCAGCATTTTAAAAAATCTTTCTGATTTTTGGAAAGAATGCATGAATGGGCGGGAGAACAGGAAGGGAATATACGGTTTTCAGCTGCCATGTGGCTATTTCACCAGGATATGAGTTTTATATTATTTTTGTTAATTTTATAATGTTAAACTGTAATAATAACAAATAATTGTTGAGAAGTGATTATTGAGAACTATTTATCAAAGTTTGCATTGTTGTCAGGCCCTGCCCTGCCCCACCCCCGCTCCACCCCCTTCAATGGTGTCCCACTTTACCAATGTTAAAATCTGGTCACCTTAGTTTACTGGGATGTGACCCATTTGTTAAACTGAGGAGCCTCTGCAGTTACCTCAACCTTCTCTTTGTTCAGTTGTCATCATCCCCAGCAAACGTATGTGCATTTCAATGCTTACATTAAAGTGTTGTAAAGCAGATACCGACTTGTTCCCATGATGGGTCTGATGACAGCCTCCACCACCACTGGCAAGTGCAAATGATGCCAGGCTCGGATGCAATTTTAAAAATGTAATAAATAGTCTAGTTCTTTGGAAGTTGTTTATACTCAGATTCAGCAGTGTAATGCAGGACCTTCCGAATATGTATTCATGCAACTGGCATTTTCATAAACTTAAAAAAAATTCTAGACTTCTGGTGCCCCTTGAAATATAGGAAGCATAGAGCACATTGGATATGAATTGGGAGGGGGAGAAGAGTAGGTCACGGTTGCCTCGTGGGTGCTGAGTGCCAAGTCCTGTGGGCCTGGGGATAGTCTCAGCCTCACTCAGCAGTGACAGGACCTGAAGGGCCCTGTCAGCATGCAGGGATGTCACCCCTTAAAGAGAGTTTTTATTGTACTACTCAGGATCCAGTTACAGTGGTACCAATAATAGGGACAGATATTGGACACTTTTTAAAAATAAATTAATTCTTTTTTACATTTTTTCAAGTTTCAGATTAATGCAAGGGTACAAATCATTAGGTTACAATGTTTGCATTTGTTAGGTAGAGCCCCTGTTGTAGTCGTGTCCCACATCCGTGAGGGGAGCCACACATCTGTACACTGTGCCCGGGAGGTGGGAGCACACCAATCCTCCCTCCTCCTCCCCCTCCCTGGACTCTTGAGTTTATGAATTTTATACCTGGATTTTCTGTGTCTAATATTTCCAATTTTAATGTTCCACTGGGCTTTGATACTTTCCATACCTAATTTGAATTGAAAAGAATAAAACATCCTTATTACTGGCAGAGTCCTCCTGCAGAGTGGCCAGTGAGCATAACTGCCTCCTCCTCATCCCCTGCCCCGTGTGCTGGCAGCTGTCCTCATTGTGGGGCAGGGTTGATTTCTGGAGCATTGTGCAGACCTGTCACTTCTAAACACCTGATCCGGTGGAACTACACGCGATGATAACAGCAAAGGCTTCTGTTTCTTTTCCTCTCTGTAAAAAGAGAACTAATCTGTGAGGCCTTTTGTGACACTGAAACTCAGTGGCTTTTGTCAAACATGATAGAACAGATAAAGGCTCCGTTTCCTCCCTGGTTGTCAGTGTCCTGGGCAGTCAGACTGGTGCCATCAAGCATTGTGTTTGGGTGGTCCTGAAACCTTGTCCCTTCATTCCTGCCTCCCCTGGGTGGCCATTTAGAACACCCACATATCCTTTTGTTTTGCACCAAAATCATTCTGTCTTCTGCTCTTGCATTTTGACCATCTTAAAGCAAAATAATTTGTGTTTCTTAAATAGATCAGAGTTACTGCAAAATTTTAGAGTCAGTAAAGACATAGGCTTTATAAAAGGAAACATTAAAGAAGGAAATTTTCTTAGCAATGATTCTAAACGATCAAATATATGCTGCTTTCTCTGCCTTATTCCACATTGCAAAACTCAAGCTTAATTATTTACAGATCAACAGGGTAAAATTGTATAGTGATGGGCACGTAGGTTGCTTCCATGACTTGGCAATTATGAATTGGGCCTCAATAAACATTCTAGTGTACATGTTTTTGTGGTAAAATGATTCTTGTTCTTCTGGGTAAATACCTAGTAATGGGATTGCAGGATGGAATAGAAAGTCTACTTTTAGATCTTTGAGGGTACTCCATACTTCACACAACCTAAATTCCCATCAACCTATGAATGGATCAATAAACTGTGGTATCATATGCTATGGGACACTATTCAGCCATTAAAAAGATGGAGACTTTACATCTTTTACATTTACCTGGATGGAGCTGAAATACATTCTTCTTAGTAAAATATATTTGTAGTTGAAATACAGTCTTCTTATCGTGAGAATGGAAAAATAAATATCCAATGTACTCCATGCTATTATGAAATCAACATGTAAACAATTACATGCTCATAAGAATGATAAAACACAAATATAGTCTAGTATGGGGGTAGAATGAGGCAGGAGGGGGCGGGAGAGGACGACTGGCAGAAGGGGGGGGCATGAGGCAGATCTCATCTAATGTGCACATTGTGAGGGTGTATAACACGCCCCCTAGGTGAGGGGCTCTTGTGCAAATGGAACTTTACCCTGAAAATGAGAACAATGTGCCTAATATTTGTACCTTCATATTAATTTGAAATAAAAAAAAGGAAATAAAATTGTGTTGTAAATTTAGGGATATATTTTCCTCCATGGGAGGCATCTCAGAATGCAAGCTTTAGACAGACTTGGGAAAAGTTATATATTCATTTCAAAATTTAATGTCTTTTTTGAAAAAAAAGAAACAATTCAAATTTAGGTAGAAATAGAAGTAAACAGTCCATGTGGCCCCTCCTGGTTCCAGCCCTCCTTTTAAAAATCATCAAAATTTGCATCTTGATATGAAGAGAAATATGTTAGTGTAAGTCTGTCTTCCCAGATGGCTCTAAAATACTGCCTCCCATAAAAGCAAAATACAGCTCGCAGTGCTGCAGAAGCTCAGTCTTCATTTCCATCATATATTTCTTTGCATTTAAGAGCTCATTTTGATGAGGTCATTATAATGATTCATTTCTGGAGTTTCTGTTGTATGCGGAGTTGCTGGAGAGCCTGGTACCTGTGTGCCATCAGGAGCGTGGCCAGAAGCAATTCAGCAGCCTACAGTTACTTGTGGGCAGGAATCACTTTTAAAATTTCCCATGAAGTTGAGATCCTGGAGGTTGGGGTCATTGTCTGGAGGGTGGGTGGCTCTTGGCCAAGAATAAGCACTGACTTACAGATCCTGCCAGGCACACGGGTGGTAGCCATGGGTGGCAGGAATGAGCTCCAGCTTATAGATTCCAGCAGGCATGTGGGTGACACCCATGGGTGGCCTTTCTCTCCTGGACATCTGGGATTGCAACAGAGAGGGAATGGGAGGAGCAAAGCTCCAGTTCAGGACGGCTTTAGGAGTCACTGCAGACTCTGTGTGCTCACCCAAGTGGTGGACAATGTGGAAATCTTTGGAAAAAGGTTATTTAAAAAGAGAGGAACAAATAAGATGATTGAAGCTCAAGAAATCACAGATGGACTTATCATGGTGGCCCATGCCAGTAATCCTAGCACTCTGGGAGGTCAAGGCACATGGGCCCCCAGATCTCAGGAGTTCTAGACAAGCCTGAGCAAAAGCAAGACCCCATCACTACTGAAAATAGAAAAATCATCTGGGCATGTTGGCAGACACCTGTATTCTAGTTACTTGGGAGGTGGAGGCAAGAGGATAGCTTGCGCCCAAGAATTGAGGTTTTTGTGAGCTATGATGTAATGGCACTCTACCCAGGGCAACAGAGAACAACTCTGTGTAAAAAAAAAGAAGAGACTTCACAAATGGTTACCAAATAAATAAACCCAGTGAAGCCCGAGATTTCTTTTCCCTTTTGTAAATTCTCAATCTTTTCATTTCTTCCTGTCCTTCAAGGAACAAAGAGCAACCCAATTTATCCCAGCCCTGATTTAATACCCATTCTACCTAGAGTTCTACTTTCTCTTCCTTTCTCTCTTACAGGTTTTGATCTAGTCAAGTGTGAGGACCCAGGCATCCCTAACTATGGCTACAGGATCCGTGACGAGGGCCACTTCACTGACACCGTGGTTCTTTACAGCTGTAACCCGGGGTACGCCATGCACGGCAGCAACACCCTGACCTGTTTGAGTGGGGATAGGAGAGTATGGGACAAGCCACTGCCTTCGTGCGTAGGTGAGTGGAGGAGCAGGTCCAGACTGCTGCACAGAGCAGGGCATCAGGCACTCACTGCACATCTCCTCACTCCACTTTGGAATTTCAACACACTTTCCAATGTGGGTTTTACATATTTCTAATATATATATGTGAGTGTGAATGTGTGGGTATGAGATTTCAGGTATGAAAAATAGAATTCCTGGTGCTATTTTATGGAGATGATGTGCATAGAGTTATTGTTAAATTATCACATGAACATTCATTGTTTTATGCTTTCAACTTCATATGGAGGATTCCTGTTTTCCATTAAGATAATGGTTGGGTAGAAGTACAGAAGAGACATGATAGAGATGATTGTGGTCTTTTTGCTGTGTATACAGTGCAGACATGATGGCTTTAGTTTTTGATAGTAATTAATAGAAACATGTGATCCCCAGAGTTGACATTCCTCTCTCTGTCTTTTGCAGCGGAATGTGGTGGTCGGATCCATGCTGCCACGTCAGGACGAATATTGTCTCCTGGCTACCCAGCTCCATATGACAACAACCTCCACTGCACCTGGATTATAGAGGCAGATGCAGGGAAAACAATTAGGTACCTGCACTATTTCCATTTCAGTGATTTGAGGGTAGAGACCTGTTTTCTTGTAGCAAAGGTAGCAGTACATTGATTATCCATAATTAAGCTTTTTGCACTGAAGAAGGAAAGGTAAAGTTCTAAAATTTTTGGTTGGTTCATTTGTCTACTTTGCAAGTCCTTTGAAATTTTGTTTTAAGCTATGTATGATAAATATGAAAAGAACATGAGTGTATCAGTTAGCTTTTGCTGTGTAACAGACTGTCCCCCCAAAATCTAGAGACTTGGGCAACAACTCTTTATTTGTGCATGACTTCATGCCTCGTCCAGATATTCATGGATCTGGATGAGGCTGGCTGGGGCTTGGTGGTTTCTTAGAAGTGGGGGCCTCATCTGGGAGGGCTTGGAGAGGAGGAACCCCTTCATGCTGGGTTTGTGCACCTGTAGTAGGCTACTCAGGGTGGAAGATTTCTAGCAGCAAGAGATGACCAACTTCAAACTTCTGCTGTGTTACACTTGCTAGTGTGCCATTTGCCAAATCAAGTCACATGAACCAGGCAAGAGTCAAGGTAGGAAGAAGTAGACTCCACCTCTCAATGAGCAGAGAAGGAAAGTCATATTGAAAAGGAGCTTGTATACAGGGATGGGAGGAATGTGTGATCATAGGCTAAGAAAATGTCTAAAAGATCATTAAAAATGGAACGAAATGGTGCCAACATTAAACAAAAAAGTGATCTGTTTTAATCATGAGTTCTAAGTTATTTTGTTGAGTTAAGCCAACAAAAACTGGTATTTTTAAAGTTCTTCACAATATAGTTGTGTTTAAAAGTATAGAATATAAAGAAAAATGTAATTCTTAAAATAAGTTATTTAATTATAGTTTTATTGAATAGTAAGAGATTATACAGTCCTTGGCAATACTTCCTAAAAATCTCTTTTTCTCTCAATTAAATTTACTCTTTTATTGCTGTTGTTTTAAATCTCCCTACAAAATTTACTTTTTAAAAACTCTGGCCCCAACAGCCATAATCCTGCTCTTGGGCTCACCAAACACCAAATTAATCTGTTTAGATAGCTCAGGTCTACCTTTATTTATGTAAAGTTAAAAAACAATAGAGGTCAAAGCCAGAAGCTTCTTTCTTAGGGAAGTCAAAAGATAAAAATATTCAGGAGCTGATGATTTTCTTCCTTATGCACAGAAGACACCCCCTCAAACTTAGTGATTTTCATTAAATGGCTGTCATAGACTCATGGTACTGCAACTCTATAACTCAGCAAAAATAAAATGGGATGAAGTTGAGTGAAAAACTGCATGCTCTATTCCATAATTCTTTTTATCTTATGACACCTACCTCCTCTGAAATTCATGTGCCTTACTTTTAATTTAATCATGTTAACATCTTGGGAGTGGGTTGAATTAGCATGGCACACATTGTTACCACTTAAAAACTCTTAAGAAAGATTCTTATAATGTATGGGGAGCCAAAAATAATTTTAAAAATAAACTTAAGGCATGTATATAATGAAAACATATTGGTCTTTTCTTATTTCTATTGCTGTAACACAGAGACTGGGTAATTTATAAAGAATATTTGTTTGGGTAATGGTTCTGGAGGCTGGAAAGTCCAAGGACATGATGCCAATATCTGGGAAGGGTCACTCCATGGTAGAAGGCATACCTGGCCAGAAACACACTTGAGACAGAGAAAATGGGGCCAAACTTCTCTTTTCATCAGTTTAATGCTGTAACTAACCTAATCCCACCATAAGGGCATTAATCCCTTTATGAGGGCATAACCACCTCTTAATATTGTTACAATGACAATTAAATTTCAACATGAATTTTGGTGATGACATTCAAGCCATAGCACATATTATTTTATGATAACTTTCTTAAAATTTTATGTGTCTTTTATCAAGATAAATGATTAACTGGATAATTATTGCTCTATTGGGACAATACTGAAGTGCATCTGAGTAACTGGATTTCACATTCTATATTCCTCATGAAACTCAATGAAGTCACTTTTCTTCTGAAAGAAATAAAATTAAATACTAGTTCTTAACTTTGAATTCCCGAACACTTGCTTTGAGTAATATAAAAACCATTCCACTGCTCTTGATTTTTAAAAACTGTAAAAATTATCTACAGTTAGCGAAATGACTTTACATAGAATTTATTTTCTTTGAGGAGATTTCAGTTTTGTGCTTTTCTTACAATTTTCTTTGTGATCCCCCCCCTCCCAGAATTAGAAGGGGCTCTTTCTTCCTCTGAAGGCAAACCAAGTGTTGATTCACTCTTCTCAGGTGAACTTACTCCATTGTTAATATCTTAATAAAAAAAGAGAAAAGAAATTAATAAATGCTGATTTTTAAGTAATACAAAAAGCACAACTTGTGTAATGTGCACTGACTTTAATGTTTGATAGTTAGCATTTGAAGAAAAGATATGTTGCATATGCCAATATGTTTTTCTAGAAAAGTTTTCTAATCATACATATCTTTCAAATACATTATCAAATTTATTGTTTTAATTTTTCTTATTGTTTCAGGTTAATTTGAGGGTACAAAGAATTAGGTTACAATGCTTGCATTTGTTAGGTAGAGTCCCTCTTATAACTGTGTCCCACCCCCAGAGTTATACATACATTGTGCCCGTGAAGCGGGAGCACACCCAAGTCCCTCCCTATTCCTCTCTCCCCATCCCCTTATTCCCACACCTCTCACCGTGAATTGATTTGAGTTTTTCCTTTATGTGAGCAGGAATTAGATCACCTACTCGCTTCATATTAGCATTGAGCACATTGGTTTTTGCTTCTTCATTCTTGTGATATTTTACTAAAAAGAATGAGTTTCTATTCAATCCAGGTTCATACAAAAGATGTAAAGTCTCTATCATCTTTTTAATGACTGAATAGTATTCCATGGTATACATATACCACAGTTTGTTAATCCATTCCTGGGTTGGTGGGCATTTGGGTTGTTACCACATACATTATCAACTTTATGAACATAATATTTTTAATTTAAGGTATGAACTGCTTAGAAAGGAAGGAGTTCCTTATTAGAATTAGGAAGGGGAAAGTATCAGTATTTATAATTAATTTACTCAATTGAAATTTAACTTCACCCCAAAAGTATTTCTGGCTATTGAGCAGCTCTTCATTAAGAACATAAATGTATTATTTTAGTATGATAGTTTGGAAAATAACATAATTATATTGTATAATTGTAGACTCAAAATCAGAATAATACTCTGAAAAAAATAGAATCTGGTCTTAGCCTTCATATTTCCTTGCTAGCTTACTCTTAGCTGTATCACTGGCAACACAGTCAATATTACCTACAATGTTTATTTTAAAATTAGGAATGCATCATCCTCATAAACATGATTGCAGGGATTAATGTAAGTATTGACTTTTTAAAACATAAATGGAATTCATTATCATGAATTCATACTCTGATTTGTTAAGATAGATGTTTTCACTCTCAAGGAATGGATAAACAGTAGGATTTGGGAACATATTAAAGGGGTGGTTTCAATACTTCAGGCCAATTTTTATCAGACTTCTTTTATTTTACTGAAGCCCATAGAAATTTCTGATTATATATTTCTGTGACTCTATTTTGTGCTAACAGAATACCCCCAAATAGTTACTATTATGGGGCATTTTGGTCTGGAAGAGGTTTGTAATTTTAATATATATGCTGTAAAGCCGTTACCTGAGCCAAATTTAATTAAAAGTCTAATCACAACACATTATAGTAAATGTAGCCCCGTTAAGAGTTACGTAAACATTTCTCCAAGGGACACAGTGTATTTTTTACTAAGCCCAGCTATGATTTATATAATAGAGGTAACATCGTTATAAACATCCAGTGGCATTAGTAGGCTGGGTTTCTCATAATCACACGTGTACATTGTTCCTGAATTTGAATTGCTCTTCTGCAAGTGTAATTGTCTGGAAAGCTCACTTTGAATGTATTTCTGCTCCTAACTGTTTACAGGAAATTGAATTTGGAGTATAGATGAAGGGAATTCTTTTTAATAAGCTCATGCTGTATTCAAAGCATTATAGGCATATCAAAACTTTATCAAGGTGTCCAACTTTAAGCAGACTTTTAAAGGAAGTTAACAGGTGGTTTGCTGATCACAGCGCCCCCTGGTGGTGCTTTTCTGGATTTGCTTTCTGTCAGAGCCAAGATACAGAGTGATTAGTGTGAGATGCGGTTTGGAGATTCAGGAAAATTTTAATCCATTTATGGCCAGCCTTCGAGATCCTGGGAAGAAATATCATCAAGAGAAAACTTCAAACAAATGATCTCCCTTCACTACATGTGTATCCCTAGTTTCCACCTAGAGCCTCAGTACATGAGGTTGGAATACAGGTCGGGACGTTTTGAAGAGCTGACAGACAGGTGTGGGGCTGGTCAGTGATTGGAGCAACTCAAATTCCTGCATTCGGATTAAGGTCCCATTTTTTTTTTCTTTGGTAGATAAAGTGAAGAAATTACTAGCCAATAGAATTTCAGTCGTGGAATTCAAAGTGAGCAGCAGAACTATGTAGCCTGCCCCTGAATATCATTGGTCCTCCTGGTCTCCTGAACCCGGGAGCAGCTGCTGAGTGTTGCCCACTTTAGCAGCAACTGGGAAAATAATTAATCCAAGGGGAGTGCTCACCTCACACACTTTGCAGGGCTCAGATACCGCCCTTTAGTTAAATAACGTGAGCCTTTAGCCCACATAGCTCCCATTTCTGTGGCCATGGCATGTGAACCATGAGGAATTACACAGGAGACAGATTTTCTGTTGGCTCTTTGTTAGCCAGATCACTCTGTCAGTAGCAGAGGTGCGTTGTCGTAAGTGGCTAATCACAACCTGTCTTGCAGTGTCGGCTGGTCACTGCCCACAGTTCAGGCACAGACGGCGGAGTGAGCGGCCTTCTTGCTTTCTTGCCCTTCAAGGATAAACTCAATTAATGCTTCGCAAAATGGATCTTCTGAAGATGGAGTTGAAT